ACAGAAATGTGTTGACGTGGGGGGTGTTAGGCATGATGGCTGTCAAGGTTCTTGCAGCTTTGACGTTCTGTGAGTGTCGTTACCAGCGCAGAGTCACGTGGCCCAGATACAGACTAGGAAGTTGAGTCTGTACATGGGGGTGGAGCAGGTGTGGAGTAGGGAGAGCAGAAAAGATGGGGTGAGGAACAGAGAGGGGAAGAGCCTGGAGTGGATGTCTGACAGTCCACGTCCGCTCACCTGGCACCCAGAGCGAGCCTCGTCGCCACCGGCACACACCATGGTGGTCTTCACAGTGGAGCACCAGCAGGAAGGGCTGGCGCAGGTGGCACAGTGCACGGTGGGCAGGCAAGCCTGCTGCAGGGCCTGGGCCAGCTGCCCGTTGGCTGGACGGGACACACAGCACTGCAGGTCAGCCCCAGGCACGTGGGGGCTGCAGGACCCTTCCTTCAGGGGCCACCACCCCTCCTCCTGCATCTCCCCTCTATAGCTGTTGGCTTCCCCAGTGAAGTCACTAGAATGGTCTTTGTTTACCAAGAGCATCTCTGTGCGTCCTGCACCCTGTAAATCCCACGAGGTGGAGCTGTGCTCACCTGTGTCCTTTTCTTTATAGCTGTGGGCAGCTTTCCTTCCTGTGGCTCTTTTTCAAAGCCTTTGCACATGAGCTATTGGTCTGGAGCTTTACAACAAACCTTTGATGTGACAGATCAAGAAATTCACCCATGATGACATTAAGTGAACTAAGAGCCAGGCTGGATTAGAGCAAGTCTCTGTCCAGCTGGCCCCTCCTCCGAAGCCCAGACACGGCCTGATGGCCCACGGACGTCTGTCAGGCCAGTCTCTGCCCCACCTTTCCATGTTATCTGAAAGAACTTGGCCACCAGAAATCTCCCCGTGACGACCAGAGAGAGAGGTCACCTCTGTCTTGACGCCCCTGCTCCCCGCTGTCTAGGGTTCATTCCCCTGAGCCCACAGCCACGTGCGTATGGGGGTAGCATGAGGGTGTAATCACCACCAAAGTGGGAGTCAGATACCTAGTTCCAGCCCTATCTTGTCATATGATCTTATACAAAGCCTGTACTTTGGGGGGCGGGGGCTCAGTTTCCTCATTTATAAAACTAGTATAATATACTCTTTGAAGTTTTTCTCTTAGTTATGAGTCTGTCTGACTTGACCATTCCACAGACTGTTGATCTCTTGACTTCCTGTGGCATTTGTTTTATCTGTGGCCCCACTGGTTCCTGGTCTCTGGCTATGAACAACTAGAACACAGAAAAATGTGCTCCCGATGTTGAGCTACCTAATCAAGGCGGATGTGGTGGGTGGCGCCCATGCGGGTGACTTACTCCTGACCTTGCCCCAGCCAGTGATGTCGCAGGGGCGGTTGTTGGGCAGGATGTTGCCCTCCCGTGGCAGAACACCCAGCACGTAGCTGTTGAGTGTAACACTCTGGGCTAGGCGCAGGAGGGCGAAGTCATATCTGCAGGAGCCAAGGACACAGCTTACTGGAGGGATCAGGCCTCCGGAGCAGCCCTGGCTAAGCCTGGGTGTCCCCAGAGAACTGTAAACCTTGCCTTTGGGGGAGGAAGGCACTGATTTGCTGAGCCCCCAACTCCAGGAGGTACGTTTGGATCGCGAGACATTCTATGCTTAACAGCACCACCTGCTGGTGAGCTCTTGACATTGTAGCCAGGCTCTGCCGGCGGCCACCCTGAGCGGAGCTTGTTTCTGTAGTGAATCTGGAATCGTGAAGGAGCCGTGTGGCGTGATTACGGTAACAGAGAAGAGTGCTCCATGGAGAAAGGTGAAAATGGCTGCACGATTCTGAAAACTCTGCAGAAACAGTCCCATAAAAGTTGAACCCACCTCACCTTCTGCACAACTCCGTGAAGAACTAGCTCCGTTCCCAAGGCTTACAGCTCAGTGTTGCTGGAGTTTTCTCATGTAAAATTCACTTTAAAACATTTACATTTGCTGCTGGAGACTGTTCCATAAAGTGAATAAACAGCAACAAAGTGCAAGAAATGGTAAACCCCGTAGAGGACCTTCAGTTGACCCAATCATGCAAACCAGACAGTATCAAATCAATCCCAAAGACCTTTGCAATGTCTCAAGTTCTCCAAAATCTAAATCCTCCGAGTCCTGCTTGATAAACGGGATGGAAGCGAAGACCTGGCTGCTGGTGGCCAGCACCACCTCGCCCAGGCCAGCTCCACCTCGCCCAGGCCAGCAACACCTCGCTCCTACCCGGCAGCCATGTGGTTGCTGTTCCCATATGGGTGCACCACGATCCGCTATACGCTCACATACTGCTCCGTGCAGTCGTTCTGGCTCAGCCTGTGGTCTCCAACCACCACGCAGAAGGGCAGCTGGCTGGAGAGAGGGGAGCCGTGGGTGCTTCAGGGGCCTCGAGCCGTGCCTTTCCCTCCTGGCTCTTATGCCCGGAGCCCACATTATGTGCCCCAGATTGAGACAGGAGGACAGATCCCGAAGGATGAGAAAGCAACATACCCTCTCATTCCCTAAATGCTCACTTGAGGGAGTGAGCAAAGCTGCCATCAGCTTCATTTTCCCAGTTAATGCAGCTCAACCTCATAGGCTAAAGAGCCCCACCCGGGAGAGGTGGGGTGCGTGTGAAGTGGGGGTGTCAGCCCACAGAGGGTGTGGAGGGAAGTGTAAAGATCTAAACCAGGGGTTCTCAAGCATGGGCCCAGGGCCAGCAGCACCAGCATAGTCTGGAAATGTGTTTAAAATGCAGATTCTCAGGCATCAATCTGAACCCCAAATTAGAAACTCTGTTCAGTGGGGTCCAGCAGCCTACCCTTTAGGGAACTCAGGTACCTGAACACATTTGAGAAATGGGGCTCGGGACAGACTTGAATGAGTGGCCAGCAGCCAGGCATTGACTGGGCGCTTAAATATTTACCTACTTACTCCTCACGAGAACCCCACAAAGTAGGTATTATTGTCCCACTTTAGCGATAGGAGAAGATGCATGCCTCTGTTTGCAGCTAGAAGGGGGGATGGAAGCTGAACTCAAGCTTGACTGACTTCCCAGCCTGACTTTTCATTATCTTCTCCTCCCTCCCCAAAGCGCCCCCCAGATGCCAGTTAAAGTCTCGCTCCGAGAGGCCAAAGTAGTATTTCGCCAGGAAGTCTAGACTGTTCCTGCCCCCCCCCGCCTCCACCCCCCCCCCCGTCCCGAAAATCAGAAAAGCTGGGCTTTGTTTTCCTCACGTGTCCACGCATGAGCAGCGGTCGTCACCTGGTTCTGACGGTGAGGGTCCCTCCACAGGTGTGATACCAGTTACCTCCTGACAGGTACTGGAGGGAAATCTAGGTGGGGAGGGGAGCATGGAGAGAAGCTGCTGTTTTGTAAAAGGTTTTGTCCCACATGCATTACCCTTTCAATTCCTGCCATTCCTCAAAACATGCTCCGACTCTCTGGCCTAGCGATGGCAAATGGACTTCACTCGTCCTGTCAACGGGATAGTTGTCAGCGTAGAAGGGGCGCGGGTTGGCGGGAGGCTTGTCCTGTGTGGTGATGCTGGCCATGTGCCTGCAGGCAGGTTAAAGTGCACACCGTGTGTTGGGGGTCCCTACTCTGGGCTGTTACACCCAGCTTCTCCCTCCACTCGTCCTCAGGCAGGATGTTTAGCCACGAAGTTGCTCTATTGCTGAAGCCCCATAAGCTCAGGTTCCCAGAGCTCCCCTCTTCAGGGAATATCGGGAATTCCATTAGAATGCTCATTTTTGTCAGTTCATGCCGCCTTAGAACCCCCATTATACCATGGGTCTACACCTGAAAACTAGGACTCAAACTTAATCAACTTTAATCCTAATTGCAGTGGTTCCTCTCAGTGTGGATACTTTCTTTTTTCTTTTATATATAATAGTTTATTTTCACATATTTTTGTGCTTATTTCCATCTCAGTTGCAATTCTCTTGGATTTCCCATCACCAAATCACCCATGTGCAAGCTATTTTCTTTTAATTTGTCAGTTGTATACTGTTAGAATTGCTTGATTTAGAGCTTAACTGCCCTTTGCAAGTTGCGTGAGAGAGAGAGAGAGAGAAGGCGGGAGAGAGAAAGAGACAGAGAGAGGAAAAAGAGAAAGAGAGGTTACGTGAGGCTGCCGGGGTCTGGCGGTCTCAGTGGTGGGGGCCCTGAGATGGGGCTTGTGCTTGGGTGCCGCCTGGGGAGCAAGCACTTTTGGGTGACCCCTTCACCTCTTCCTCCACACCCTTTGCGTGCCAGGGAAACCACGTCAGCCTGGCCCCTCCGTCTGGGGGTCTGGACTTGAGGCTGCCCCCCCTGCACCCCCCGCTGCTGAGGACACGCACAGACACGTAGCGCCACAGCCCGCACGCAGCAGCTGCCTCAGTGGGACCCGGCGGCCGGGGGCACCCACCTGTGAGGGCCCGGAGTTCCTCCAGGCCTCCACCCCTCCGACAACCCGGGTGTTGGTCTCGGACAGTCCAGACTGCGTGTCCTTCGCGGAGCAAAGGGGAAGTGACGACTAAGCAGGGGTCAGCGGGGTGGGGGCAGCTGTGCTCTGCCTGCACACTCGCCGCCTTCCTCCCTCCAAATGAAGCCCCATGTGGCTCTGAAAGCCCCTCTTGAACGCAGGGGTTCTGAGCACCTCCTGCTCCCTGTCGTCGGGTCCGGGCGGAGGACCTGTCTCTCGCCGTGCCTGGGGCCTCACCTCCTTGGCCCCATCTCAGCCGTGGGGGGCAGCCCCTGGCTGGAGGGGTGACCCCACCACTGCTCTGACAGGCCTCTCCAGGGACAGACACACTGCATGTCCCAGCCAGGCACCCGCAGGGCTCGTCTCCCCATGAAGGGGGAGTTGGGGAGCCCTTGGCGGGAACAGGCCCCTCCCTCCTGTGGAGCGGGACCGCCCTGCTGGGCCTGGGGAGAGGAGCCTGACCTTTCCTGGTGCCGGCTCCTGGGAGGGAAGACCTGGCTAGATGCACCTGCTTTGGATAGAGCCCAGGCCTGGGCTCAGGGGTAACCTTGACCCCCTGCACCAGCCCCTCCCTCGCGGGTTCGGGCCAGACCACCAGCCCTCTCACCATGAAGGGCCAGGGCGGCCAACCCCAGGAAGCACAGCATTTTGCGGCAGGGCAGGGTGGACCAGGCCTCTCCCTGGCCCGGCTGCTCCTTGCGCCTCTCTTAACAGGGGCACCGCTGCCCGCCTCCTGCCAGGTGGCCGGGCTGCGGGAAGGCAGGGAAACGCACAGGTGCCATGGAAGTACGAATGAAAAGCTTCCTTCCACGTAAACTCACTGATCTGTTGTTCAGACAGAACAAGGTCAGGGCTCAGCCAGTCATCTGCTTTCCGTTGAAAAACTTGCAGAAATGGCTTCACCTCAGCGTGCTCCCTACCCCCTCGCCCCCCCCCACGCCCCCTGGATGTCGTCCACACCAGCCTGTGCCCCGAACGTGGGAGTGCGGGAGGGAAGAAGAGACAGCAGCACCCCCCATGCTCCCCAGGACCGGAAGGGTCCAGGCACCGGCGTGAAGTGGGAACACAGTGAGGCAGGGGCAGTGGAGAACATTCTGGTGGAGGAGGGGGCTCAGAAAGTCCTGGGGAGGCCAGAGAAGGAGACTGTGGGGGGGTTCCAAGAGGGAACCTGGGGTGGGGGCTCCCCCATCAGAGGAGGGAGGTGCAGTGTTTCGAGGCGGGCAGAGGGCTGTGGGTGGGGGGTGATGTAGGCCCGAGAAGCCGGGTGTCTAGAGGGACCCAGGAAAGGCACCTGACCCACCTGGGGCTTCTGGTCTCAGATGCCCCGAAATCGGGAAATCAGCGTTTGCGCCTGCAGGTGTGGAGAGGCCCGGACAGGCTGCGGCCTTCCAGGTCCTTGAGCTGTTGCGGGCTCACTGTGACGCCCGGGCGGGGCCTCCCTGGACCCCAGCATTCCAACACGAGCAGACCTCGGGAGAGAGGCCGGGCCGGGCTGGAGACCCCTCACCCTCCTCTCTGCCTTCCCTGCGGGATCCCTCGGCCAGCACGCGCTTTGGAATGAGTCTTGGAGGGCAGGACCAACACCCCTCCGTCTCTGGCCTCGCCCAGAGAAGCCCAGTCTGTGTTTGCTCAAGAGCCAGACTGGGACCTCGCACAGCCTCACCAGGGGCGCCCGGCCTCCTCACCCCCACCCTGGGGGGACTCCCAGCCTCGCTCTTGGGGTGGGGCAGACAGGGACTTTGGCTCACATGCCAAGGAGTTCCGATGCTTCCGAGTAAATGATTTTAGGTCTGGAAATTCATCCTTTTGAGATAAACATGGGCACAGAAATGAATGTACAAGGAGGTGGGTCGCAGACTCACGGTCTCTCCTGTGTTTTTTCACAGAGAAAGGGCCGGGGAGGCCACGCCACCTGCAGGGTCACTGCTTGGAGAGATGACATGGGCATCGCGGGGCGAAACTT